AAAAATTTTGAAATGGGTTCTATTTCCTTCTTCTGATGGAAAGGATACGAAGAGATTTCTGCTACACACTAGAGCCCTTGGTAGGGGTCCTGGGTATGAGCATAGCTCTACCAAGTGGCCCAAAAGAGGAACCTCTTCAAAACCTCTCGGCTGAAGACATAAATGGAAACTGTGTATAAATATGTGGTTAATAATGAGATTATGATAAACATGGAAGTGAGGATGACTTGAGAAGGCACGGTCATGTGTCTGCAGGGAATAAAAAACCTGAGTTATGAGACAGTGAGATTAACTCAAATTTTGCTGTTAGTTTCAGAAATAAATTAATGTAAGTACTTAGAAAAGTATAAAACTGCACACTTAACATTTTCAACCATCACCAAATTGATCTGAGAAGACAACAGTACACAAAGAGCCCAGATAAAGACTACTTCACAGTATGGGAAAGACAGGTTCATGTCATCAGAGTTCAACACCACTGATAAAACGCTTTTCAGTAACTAGCAGTGTGCCTGATTAAAATGAATGTCAGGGGAGTGTGAACCTGCTTTATCACCAATGTATGTTTATCTATGATTTATTTAATGTCAGTGTCAGCAGCTCAGCCTGCGTGCTGCCAAACAATGGGACAATTAGTGAATAATGAACTGTAAAGTATGTGGAAGGTGGGGCAATGGCTTAACGTGAGGAGATATTACCTTGCAGGGATTGAAAAAAAAAAAAAAAAACTCAGTCAGGACAGCTGTTGTGTTGGCCAAGATTCATACTGGGCATCTCCGGAATAAAAGTCAGAAGTGCTACTACACGTACTTAAGTCAACTTGGCTGTTGGGCCCCATTATAAAAAATTACCAACATCAGTAACGTGATAATTTCAGGTTAAAGGACTAGTTCTATGCCTAATGAATATCAGGGCAGTAATTTAACAACCCTTCCAGCAACTCAAGGCTATGTAATGTTGAATGATAATATGGCGTGTTGATCTGTTGGTAGGCAATGACCCATAAAGAGCACCAGAGGAACAGTGTTTTCTCTGCGAACGGTGCCAAGATGTTATGGGCAGGACAGTTAGTTGGTTGGTTGGTTGGTTGGTTGGTTGGTTGGTTGGTTGGTGAGTGAATGAGTTAGTTAGTCGAGAACTTCTGTAGCTGACGCTTGGTACAGTTTGGTACCCAGAGAAAAGGGAAAGTCCACCAGTGGAAGCCATTACCAGAAGTCTGACAAAGACAGTAGGCTGAAAAGACTTAAGTATATGCTCTAGTGAAGTGTAAAGTGTGTGAATTAGTGAAATGATTATGATTACGTGTAGTCACGGATCTGTAAGAGTTCAGTAAATCCAACTACCAATCCAAACCACATCTACAGTCATACTCTATCACATGACAATATCATTAGTGAATAATGAGATGAGGACGTAGAAGTGTTCATGTCTTAATCTGATATATTATGCATGAATCTGCCTGGAAGGACTGTGGAAGACCATGATAACCTGTCGGGGCTAGTTGGTGTCTCATAAGTAAGAAGCTCTTTCACTTGGTCAACTTGCTTGGTACATAGAATCACTCTGACAGCGTATTGGGATGATCCAATCAAGGAGGAAGAGATGGACTGAGCATGCAGCATGGATGGGAGCCCATAGAAATGCATACAGTATTTTTGTATGAAAAACCTGAAGGAAAGAGGCTACCAGACTACTTGAAAGAGACAGATATGGAAGAGTGGAGGTATATCTCCATGCATTCTGAATCTGAGCACTAGATGGTGATGCCCTACTTGCTTTACTCCAAGGGAAAGGACACCTGGTAATCATAAATAGGAAGCCTGGTGGGAACCAGTGCCAGTCGGCACTCTGCAAGGAGAAAAATCTCCATCTTTGCCAGGAAATGCACACCAAATTCTCCATTCATACATGGCCTAAATCATCAGTACACAAACCCCCACTCCTCTCCCTGCTCTGTTCAATCATAGGAGTGAGAATGAAGTTCTGACATGACTAAACAACACAAATAAACAAGATAGATCAGTTGGTATAGCGATGGGCTATGGGCCGCAGAATGGGTGTTCAGTTCCCAGCAGGGGGAAGGCAGTTTTCTCTTCTCCACAGTGTCCAGGCTGGTTCTTCAGCCCCCCAGTCTCCCCACAGTATCAGGGGATCCTTCCACAGGGACAGACACAAAAACCAACATTCACCTCCATCTAGTGCCAAGGTTAAGAATGCGTTGACCTATACCTACATTCCCCCATACATCTTGCTGTGACAAATATGCACAAGGACAACTTTATTTTCTCTTTTACTCAAACAATGTAACAAGTACCTAAAGTGGTTCAACACAACAGGGAGACCATTAAGGTACAAGTCACACAACAAACCCTGGCGCACACAGTTAATGTGAAGCTTATGTAACAAATTTGGTTTCCCCAGCACCATGCTGTGTTCACACATGAAGTGAAGTGAGATAAGCAGAAAAAAAGGATAAAAGCCAAAAACAGCAGGACATGCCAGTTCAATATACAATATCTTTCCACTGTCATCTGAATACTGACACGAAAAGGACACGTGAGAATAAACAAGTTAGGAACTACATACATAAGATAAAGTTATCCTTGTACTTAAGTACCGCGCCTGAAACTGTATGGAAGAACAGAGGTATGGCTCCATGCATTCTTATCCTCATCACAATATGGAGATGAGTAGTCAGCTTCACCCCCTGGTGGCACTAAACCCAGGAATGAACCCAACATACCCCTTCAGTAGGACACTGGGTGGGCCCCAGAGCCAGTCCAGACATGAAGAGAAAAATTTCTGCCACTGCTGGGAATCAAACCCCAATTCCCTGGTTGTTCAGCCCACAGTCAAGTGGATATTGCGCGGCACAATATTAAAACTCATCTTAATAGAAACAGGGTATGAATGTAGGGATTGGAGTCATCTGGTTCAAAGTTCAGCTTCTGTGAATTTCTAGATTCCATTAAAAGGGGAATTTCTTCATCAGCCTAGTAATCATAACATTTCAGCACATCCTGCACCCTGAGGTTTGTGCTTAATGGGGTAAATCTAAAAGTCAAACATAAATTGGAGGAGATCCTAATTTTCTGAACTGTTCAGAAGTGTACCAGTTCAGGTTCCTATCTCAATGCAAGTTTTAAAACTGTACCACAGTATGTTTACTAGCAGCACAGATGAGAATTCATGACAGGATGACAGATGAAGCTCCCCACAGGGAGTGCAGTCTTTCTGCCAACAATGCTGCACTGCATTAGGAACAAGTTAGCGCCAGACTGCAACACTCAGGTCGAGCTTGAGGCTCTAACAGGGATATCAGTGAAGATTACTATCTTCTGGGGCGTACTACCTTATAGTCCAGTAGTTCACCTCTCAACTTCACCAGACCACATGGCATTACATCGCAGAAGATGCAGGGTGATACACTTGAAAGAGGTCCCAAATTAGTAATTGCAAATCATGCAGTAATATACTAAGGAAAACTGAACTCGGAAAGCATATCCCTTGATAGGAAGAGATAACTGGGTTACACAAGATCTCAAAATAGGTTTCTCTCCACTTGGAAGCACAAACAAACATGACACTGTGTGTGTACACACCATTCTGCTACACAACACTTGGAATCAGAGCCTGAATGAAATGGCACCAATCAGGCAAGCATGCACTGGGTCAGTGTTGCCAAATTTTGTTTTCCAGTGGTTTATGATTTATAATTATTAATTTGGGACCTGCTCTGAGTGACACACTGCAGTGCTCTTTATAATTGAACAAGTTACTGAACTGTTACCTAAGTGACAACTTGAACTGTTGTCCGCTATACTGTCTCCAGGAAATTTCTAAAAAATTGCTTGCTATTCAGTGCGTCTAGTTAATGTGATGTATCTCCATTTACTATTTTATCTTCTTTGCTTTCTGGCTGAAAGAAACTGTGATCCTTGAATATCTTCATTGCAGCTGTTTCAAGTTGTCTGTCTGCAGTATCAATGTCATGCTTTATCGTTGAGATGAGATCATCTGTGAAGATAAAATCCACTTCTATGTCAATGGCTGAAAATAAGTGATCATACACAATAGTACTAAAGACAAGTACACTGAAGTAGGCTCAAGTGTGAGGAGATATTTGCTTGTAAGTTTTGAGGTTTTCATGGCGGTGACTATGAAGAAAGCAGTCTTCTGGGATGTGGCGCCATGTAGATCTTATGGTAACTGCCATTTTCAGGGTAGAAGCAAGTACCTGCTCACGCTGGTTCTTCGCTTGCGGATTTTTTTGTACCCTGAAGATGGAGGCGATACATTCCTCCGAAACATCAGTTAACACAATATCTACATGGCGCCACATCCCAGAAGACTGCTTTTTTCAGATATTTGCTTAGTCAATATCCTCTGTGCATCACACTATTGTGTAAACATCTGTACTTTAGTAGTAAGTCTACACAAAAATAAAATGTAATTAACAGACTCTCTGCAGGACTATAAATCGATGCAAGAAGCTAGCTTTAAGGGTTCTGTTTGGAACTCCTTCTTTTGGAAGTCTATGATGGGTTTCGCATGTATATAGAATTGGTGGACAAAGAATGCTTTCACAATTTTGGTGGAGAGGTTCTTGGCAAGGAAGCATGAAAAACATGCAATGATAACATTCAGATGAATCTTAAGAGAACTAGGTTCTGATGATTGGAGGTGGATAGCATGGCTCAGGATCAAGTATGATAGTGGGTTTTTGTTCTTACAGTTCTAGACTTTTGTGTTCCAATGTACCAAAGAATTAGTTAACTTAGTTTATGATGTTGCTACTGTTGATAACTACAGGCCAGTATCATTAATTTCTGTTTTTTCTAAAATAATTGAAAAAATTATGCACAGGAGACTTCTATCATTCATAAATAAGTATAGCATAATTAACAACAAACAACACGGATTCTGTAAAGGGAAATCAACACATACAGCAATCACGGAATTTACAAAGATGGTCTACAAAGCACTANTGAACAGTCTACTGGAACACTTACCCAAGGTCCTGAAGTCCATTTCTGGACGTATGTAGCCAGTCAGGCAGACTTTTAATTGGGAACCATAGAAGTCAGTCCCAAAGTCATTAAGTATGTGTGTTTCCTGTGAGAAAATGTGGCAGAACAAAATGAAAATGACAACACTAGCTGGTAGACCTCAATTTTACACCTCAACAAATGAATGTGAAACACACCATGGACTTCTTAACATTTCTGAAGTACGGATTCCATCCAATACTCATTACCATCTTGTGTACTGGACCATTATCCAGTTTGGCCCAGCCATAATACACTCCAGTGTGGATCTCTTCAGGCAGTCCATTCACTACTTCATCTGGGAAATTAGCTGCAATGAATTGGTAATTCTCAATTTTTGATATACAGCAAACTCGAGTCTTCAATGATGTGGCAGTTTAATGTGGCAGATGCCTACAAACAATCTGGAGCAACTTGCTCTCTCCATCTTGAACATAAAAGGTAGATGGGTCACACTCGTCTGAAATATTGGTACCTCTCTATCAGACTATACAGCGACACATATTAGAAGACAACGCTCTTCACAGTCACTTCTGCCATGTAAAGTAAGCAAATGTATCCCTGTAACAGGCCGCGGATGCCCATAGGGTTGTGATGTGTCAAGGCTCCCACATTTTCTAGACAATCAGCTCACAGATGGCGGTGAGATTGTCAGCCTTATGCACCGGCCACCCTTTACCCCCAGGAAGATTCCTGGTACTCATTTCTGTTAGAGGCTGATTCGACCCCAGGGCCATAGAACAGCTGGAAGGATTAGGTAAACTGAAAAAAAATCCACCTCACCGGGGTTCGATCCCGCGACCTTCTGGCTTGTAGTATAGTGCCTCAACCAACTACACTACCTCGTGCCCCTACTGCCTCCATGAGAGCCTCAAATTTCAGTGTTTCACACAGTTCTGACAGAACAACCTCTTCACAAACAAAGACATAAGCATTCAATGTTCATAAAGTAACTGCAGTCTCTAAAATTCTGGGTCTGCATCTCAAATAAATATGCTTATTTATTAAAAACAGCGAATATAATGTTTACTTCTTATCTTACAAAATTTCACTCGATTAAGTTTCTGTAACAGCATTTGATATTAGTAGCTTTCTGAATTTCTCGTACTATCCAGTGGTCTAAACAAGAACCTAACATTTGAGAAGCAGATCTGCTGCTCCTTTCAGAAAAAGGGTACCTACAGCCCTTGACTTCCATCACACATGAAATTAAACACACTCTTTTTGTTAAGGGTTTTAATTTCACAAGCTAATAATATATGCTAACCCAAAAACATTAACCCCTTTCTGGGCAGCTCCTCTCTCCACACAGAAGTGTTCAAGAAACCATCAAAATTATGTTATTACTTGCAGAACAACATTAGAAGAATATTATTATCAACTTCCAAGAAGAATTGGAAGAATTGCTGACACTGCACCCATGACTTAAACTCTCCACATCACCATGCACTGGGCCCAATTTCACCAAATTTCTGCTCACACTACAGTTTTACAAGTACCGTTTTCTTTTATGAAACCCACTAACTTAATGTATCATCATCATCATCCTGTTCACACTGACAGCTGGATGTCATTTATATCATATATCATTGTATTAATTTTTTATCTTTGCTACCTTTTAAATCTTGTGAATGTATTTCCAAGATATATTCACTATAACATAGCGATCTGTTAACAAATACAGATCTGTATTATACCAAATGTGTTTGATTACTTGAGATATGTTAATTTAAGGCCTGATGATGACCAAATGGCAATATTTTCAATAAATAAGCAAAATGTACATTAACATCTACTATCTCCATTCAAGATATTTCCATACCACTCATCATGTTGACGGATATAATACAAATAGAAATCAAATGTTATATACACAACAGGATGCAGTCATAAACATTAAAAACTACAGAGTACTTTGAAAGTATGAAAGAGGGCTTAGAGGTTAATTTTAAATTCTGAACAATACAGTATTGTCAATACTGGTAGGTACATAAGTCAGTCTTTTAATCGTACAATATCATGCCCTTTACATATAGCTGTTTTGTAGTCCATTTTATTAAAAATGTAACAAACCGAAAAGGCCTACGGCCAAATAATTCTAACCTATCTAACGCTGTCAGTAATTTCAAATTATACAAACAGTTACAGGACATAAACATTCTACACAACTCGTCCTCAAAACCAAATAACCTACCAATACACAAGACGCAAATGTTAAAAACTTGATTATAAGTTATTGTAAGAAAGTACACCCTGTTCCTAACGACAATCCTACGTCAATTTATGCGATTCGAATGATACGTCTACACAAATTTTTAACTACGAAATAATGTACTTCCAACAGCATTATAATGCTACGACTCCACTATGGTTGTGCTGCCTAACATACAATTCACGTACCTTGCTACGTTATATATTTACACCACGGTATTTCGACAATGATTCTCGATGTGAAAACACTCCATATTCAGGGGTCACATACACTATCAACCCTCA